TTACATACAAGAAATGTCCAAAGTCGTTGTTGTTGTTGTTGTTGTTGTTGTGAAGCTGCTGCGCTGGTCGTTCGTAGTGCTAAATGCGTATCCCAATGCTCTGGATGAGCCTGTGTAGTGTTTCTTTGCTGATGTATTTGGTAAACATGTGAAGTGTGTTGATCTTAAGGATTCTGATAATGTCGTGTTTGATGAGGTCTTGGGTGTAGAGAAGTTTGAGGTCGATGTGTTTTGTCGTTCAGCAATGCTCTTGCCTGCTGTGGAGTCTGTGTGGATGCGTAGGTTTAGCTTGCTGCAAATGTTGCAAGTAGGAAGTTTCTGAGGTGTAGTCCCTCATTAACTCCTGTGCAAATGGTGTAGAGTTCAGACTCTGCTGAGCTGAGTGCTATTGTAGCTTGTGTTCTGCTGCCAAATGCAACTGTTGTTCCTAAAAAGATGATGTTGAAACCTGAGGTTGATTTCCTGGTAGTAGGGCATCCTGCCCAGTCGGCATCGACATGAACGTCGAGAGCCAGGATGTTGTTGGTGTTTGCTCTGAGTGTTGTTGTTGGTTCTATGGTGAATTTGTAGTGCTTGGTGCAGTGCAAGTAGCGTAGTAAATGTTTGACTCTCTTTTGTGAAAGTTCTGTAGGTGCTGTGAGGTCTCGTGCCAGTTCTTTTGTAGAGTATGCGATGTCTGGTCGTGTGTATGCTAACTATTGAAGTTTGCCAACAATCCTTCTGTACCTTTTGTGTTGTTCGTGGTCAAGAAGTGCTTCATCCTCTATTGTTGGTTTGTAGTGGGCGATTCCTGGAGTGGTCACAGTGTTGCAGTTGGTCATTTCAGACTCCTCGATCATGTTGTCGATGTAGGAGTCCTTTAGTCCAAGGTTGCAGTAGTTGCCGAAGTGGTCGATGTTTCTTCCAAGAAATTGTTGTGGTTTGCCAGGTTCGAGGTAGCCGATGTGCTTGAGTAGGACCTGCTTCTGGACGGCCTCGAAAGTGGAGTCGACCGCAGTCTTGTCTCCAAGTCCCAGTAGATCGTCCACGTAGACCATGATGTAGCAGTCGCGGGTCGCATTGGTGTAGACGTTAGGTTCTGACTTTAGTCTAGGCTGAACTTTTGTAAGACTTCAGCCAGGTAGTCCTGCCATGCTTTTGGTGAACTGCGTAGTCCATACATGGCTTTCTTTAGTCGCCAGATTTTGTCCTGTTGTGGACAAAGTTCTTTAGGCCAAAGGTAGACGTCACGTTGTTTACCGTCGTGGTCTTTTGCGATGGGTGCGTGTAGAAATGCTGTAGAGACGTCACCTAGTCGCGCGATCCAGTTTGGTCGTGACATTGTAGTGCGAGAAGTGTCCGGAGTGTTGTGAACATTGGTGTAGAGGCGTAGACGGAGTCTTCGTCCTCGATCTTCTCTGTGTAGCCTTTTGCGACGATTCGGCTTCGTACTCCTGGTCCTTTCTTTCTGTGTACCCATCTTGTAGGTGTCGCTTCTTTTAGAATGTTGTCACCGACGGTAGACGCATCTACTTCGTCGTAGACGTCGTGTAGTTTCATTTGGTTTGACTCGTGTTTCATTGCTTCCAGTAGTTGTGTTTCGTTATAACCTTCGTTGTCGAAGATTGTGGGTTGGTCTTCTGAGGTGTCGTCGTCGTTTGTGTAGGGAGTGATGGATTTTCCGTTGGGAAGTGTCACTGCGTTGATTTTCTGTCGTAGTGGTTGTGGTTCTTTGGTTGTTTGCTCCGTCCATCTGATTGTAGTGTCCTTTGAGGTCTTCTGTGCTTTGGTTGGTTGCATTACTTAATGTTTGTCGAGGTGGATGTTGTCGTCCGGATGGTGAAGTAGCCATAGGACTATCCGGTAGTGGTCGTGAACTTGAGTCGATGTAGACGGAAGTCGTGGAGGTGGTGTAGTGCGTTGTTGTTTTGTTGCGGGTTCCGCAACGATGTCGTCCGTCGCGTTCGTCTGTTGTCCGACATCTTGCGCGGACCTTCTTTTCTCTGACGGTTGTAGTTGCGTATCCAACAGTGTTGCGAACGATGGGTTGTAGGTGTTCCGTCGTGGTGCCCATGGTGCGCCGGAAACTTTGTTCAACACTGCGAGGTCGTATTTGAAGTCCGGCTGTAGTCTCCGTACTGTTCGTACTTTTTGTACGCCTGATTCCGTTGCGACGTAGTTTTGTCCGGTTTCGGAAACTTTTCCGAGCCAGATGCATTTCTGCATCCGTAGGTCTGCTTTTGGAAGTTTCTTGTGTTGTGGTGGAAGGTAAAGTAGTGTCTCGCCAAATTCGCAGATTGCTCGTTCGTAGTTTCTTCCCCAGCGGCGTTCAAAGCTTGTGTAGCCGTCTGAGTGGATGACGTAGCGATTTACCGTCCATGCTGCATGTCGTACTATCCAAGGTAGTAGACAGTGCTTTGTGGAAATCGTCATGCTGCAGTTGCTTTCAACCTGTGCTTTGACGACGCGTGCCTGTGCGAGGAGTGTTCGGTGAAGTCGCCCAACACTTCCTTGACTGTTGCTGCTGCAGGAGGGTGCATGCCTAAAAGTCACTGAGCCGACTTTTGCTGCTTTAGCTTTTAGAAGTGCGTTGAGTGTGTCTTCGTTGTCGCTTTGTAGTTAGTATGCCTTGTGTTCTTCCGCACTCAAAGATGAATGCTTGTAGGTTGTTGACCATGTAGTCCATCATTGATGGTTTGTCCGGGACCATTACTGCCACACACAGTTGTGTAGTAACATCAACTGCTGTCAGTGCTGGTATGGTCTTTGGGTCTTGTTGTGATTTGATGTAGGCGAAGTCTATTTGAATGACGGGTTGTCGTGATTGTTGTTTCTTGTAGTTGTCTTGGCGTCCTTTGCCTTGAACACAAGTTGGACACCAGTTTCTGTATGGTAGGTGTGTAAGATTGTGTTCTGCTGTTTGTTGTGGAGTGGGCTGCTGTGGTTGTCGTAGTCCTCTTGCTCTGTGTGCTTCATGATGCTCGCGTTGTTGTTCCTCATCGTGGTTCTCCTGGATGTACTCGTAGTCTTTCTTCACGGTGAACCTTGTTGTTCCTTTCCATTGAAATGGTAGTGCTGCGTTGCCCATGACTGTCCAGTCATCTTTGCGTTGTGAAACTTCTTCAAAGTTGTTGTGAGTGTTTGTAGTTCTGTGAGGTTCAAGTGTGCTGATTGGTGGATGTCCTGGCCCATCTGTTGGAGTGAAGAGAGTTGTTCTAAGTGTTGTGTGGTGTCTTATCCAGTGTTCACCTTGTCTTTCCCAGTAGTCTTGGTTGTCCTCCTTTGCTGTGAGTGGTCTGTGGATTGTCTCCTTTGGTTGTGTGGTGTCAAGATTTGTAGAGGGTGGGTGCATGTCTGTGTGTTTCCACATGGCTTGAAAAGCAGAATGAGAGACGCAGAGAGCTGCAGAATGGCAGTGGGCTTGGGCCCAGCAAGGGGTGCAGATTTCTAGAAAATTTGATTGGTTTCTGGAGGGGAATTTTGCCGGCTTCTGGGGGGGAAAGGACCGGAGTTGGTTCTACAGTTTTAAGGGTGGATTTGATTGGGGAATTTGATTGGTCCAGTCAAATCCCCGTTAAAGCCGGTCAAAATCCCCTCTACAAAGTGATCAGCCCCCCTTAGAAACGCCGCTAGAAGCCGGTCAACTTCCCATCTAGACCCATCAAATCCCCTCGAAAGACCGGTCCAACTCCGGCCAAATCCCGCTAGAAACTGGTATTGGGGGGCAAGAGCGCTTTCGAAGGGGTTGAGGACGGGGCTTTGGAGGATCCCGAAGAGGTTCTGAAGGGTCTGACCGCCTCCCGGCCCTCAGAACCGAGGCGAATTTGTATCGCCTACATGTGCTCGCTTTGTGTTTCCTTTATTTTTGGGTCTTTATTCTTGTTTCTTCTGGGTTGCGCTGCAGGCACTGCAGCAAAATGCGAGCGACAGCTACGATGTGGAGGCAGTGGGTATGCGTTGGGCAGCAGCAGCGCCCAAAAACAGTTGACTCCCCAGTTTTCTGGACACAGGCCTTGGAGAAAGAGGAGCTTCTCTTTCAAAGAAAGTAGTCGGAAAGACTTGCGGAGCTTCAAGTAAACGACGGGATGCCACAGGCTCATGAAATCAAGCCTATCCTGGATGAGGCGCAGAGGGCCGGGTGTTTCATGAATTTGCCAGCTGCCCATTGGACCAGACGCCACAGTTTTGCTTGGCATCAAATCTGGCAATTTGGTGGCGTTACAGGCAGCAGTTGATTGACTCTATTTTGCATCCTGTCATGACTTTGCCAAGTCCACAAACTGATCCAGTTAGGAGTCACAGTTGCTGGTGGCTCTACAAATACTTGACGTGCTTACCCACTCAGTACTTCCTTTCAGGAGATCCAAATAATTCGTAGGCCAAACCGAACGACGAGGTTAGACGTGGAGTTCTGCCATACTTGCCTTTTGGCATTCTTTGTATCTCCGCCCTGCAGGTGCACTAGCTCTGCAGTTGAGGCTGGACGGAAGCTCGCCCAATGCCAATTTGACTAAGCCCCGACTCCCAAGAGGCTGAGACTTTCCCCGACATTTGCCCTTGCGTCGGGTGTCAGGACTCGCTGCGGATCTTTTGCACTGTTTCACCGCAATCGGACGCGAAGCTCAGAGGGGCGTTGGAAGTTGTTCGCTTCGAGCCGGGGACAGAGTTTCGAGAACTGAGAAACTGGCGAGCTCTGCACAGGCTTATTGACGAACCCAACGAAAATGTGTTGAGGAATCCCTTTTCAGGTGCGAGCATTTTACCCTAGAGTCGGCTGGAAGCATGCCACTTGTGCGACTCCTTGGGCTGACTTTTGAACGCCACTGACCCAGCCAGTGTCTTCACCTAATTGAAATCTGTGTCAAGCGAGGATCACGCACACATGCCACTTCACTTGCTGTGATCCTCCGCACAGCCTGTGTATACTAAATTTGGCTGAGTTCAGGCCTAGGCCTGCGAGAGAGATCAGATTTTGTCAGACCTTGTGGAATCGGCCGGCCATCAGCCAAAGAAGCTCCCAGATCTCGCAAGAAGATCTGCGATAGCGAGTCGGTCTTTGTAGATCGAAGCCCTGCAAGTGTTTATAGCATTTGCAGCATTTGCAACATTTGCAACATTCACAACATTTATAATATAGGGTGGGCCTTGATCTTGCTGTCCCAATTCGGTCGCCCGAGGAAGCTTCGTGCGCGGTGCTCGTCATGGTGTGTGCTATTTGCACACCCGCAAAAAGGCAGATGTGTCAGCCATGTGCAGCGGATGCTCCCCTCTGCCAGGTTGCAATAGACATACGTGGCATGTCAAGTTATGGTGCCTTGCGGACTGTGCTCAAACACAATCATGGTTGAGCAGATGTGCAGTGTGTGCTGCAAGTGCCACACCTTGCGCCCGATCAATCTCAAGGTAAGCATACATACACCAAAGGAGACAGAAGGCGGATACACATTTGCAGAATGACCAGCTTCTGGATCAGGATCACCAAAAAGCAATTCAACATGTACAACTCTTGGCTGGAGGGAACGTTCTGTGAGTCTGGAATATCTGGAGGTTGCCAGGCTCAGCATTTGATGCTTGATTCTGAGAAATAGATCCTTTGAGATGTGGTTACTTGAGCCAGGGAAGGAAGACATTGACGTTACCTTTTTCAGCGTGGTCTCAGTTCCAGATAGCCGGCACTCGGCAGTGCGCATGGATGGGCTCTGGCAGCAGTGCGTCAAAGTGCTTGCACGGGATCGCGAGCCGTGCATTTGTCCAGAGTGAAGTTTCATGGTTGGCCGCATGCTTGATTAAATGCCAAACCGAGCAACACTTTCAGGTCCTGAGGATGGCAGCCGGCTTGACAGCCGGCTTGACAGACGGTTTAGGCAATGCGGCAAGTTGGGAGGTACAAGAGCTCCGCACCGGCGGCTTCAGCTCAAGAGAAGCCGGAGCCAGCAAAGCCAGAGGGAGAGTTGGCATGTTCGGCCAATCCCGAGCTGGCAGCGGCACAGACAGAGGAGAAGCTCGCTCACGGTGCCATTCCTCAAGGCCCGCTTGGGTTCTCACTTTTTCCTTCAACACTTGAACTCGGTCCTGCTCAAAGTTGCTTCTGCCAGGCCAGAGCTATCGCGGCTCCAGGCCAGTTCTGCAGCATGCAAAGAGCCACGCGATGCAACTCCGACAAGTGAACTTCACTTTACAGGCTTGAAGAGCAGGGGACATACGACACAAGGAGATGCATATATGCTCTTGGAGCATTCATTCTCAATTCTCAAGCCCCGAGTGTGCGGGTGACCCCTCAATCCTCGCTCTGCCAGGGCTCGAGCCCAGCAAGGCCGGCACAGGGACCTTTGTCAGACGCCCTTTCTGAATGGACCCGGGGTTAGGGATGGGCCACTTCTCCGAACAAAGACCATGGGCACTCATGGCCTTGGGGCTACACGGATGGATGGTCATGGACCGCAGGAATGCGGAATTCAGACATGCGTTGCTCTGAGCAATTGGTATCGCTTGCCAGCATCGCATTGCGGCTTTGCAAGCACGCCTTGGGATCGGGCCTTGCAGTTCCCATGCGCATGCAACTAAAGGCAAGTGCACCAGTGGCACCGCTCTTGACAACCGGCATTGCATCCACACACCCCACGCAAATTTGAAGGACAACCACACAACTCGATCCGATCATTGGCTCAAGCAACCGAGACTTATTTGCAGCGTGGGGAGCAGAGGGATATCAGCCAGTCATTCTGTGAGAGGGTCTGTGGCTTGCGCAGCCTTGGGGGATTGCTGGCTCTCGTGGCGTTTGGCCCGGCCGCAAACCCAACCGCAAACTAGTCTTAAACTGACCCCACGCTGAACTGCTAAGAAGTTGCTTTTTGCGCCTGCCTGGCATCCAACATGACACAGTTTGCTAGCAAATGCCATGAATTTGCCGATGCCCTTGCTAGAGAACACTAGGAAGGCTCAAATGCTAACCCACGACGCCCAAGTACTGGTGTTTCGGTTCCCTTGCCTAGCCTGGGGGCTCCAGGAAGACGAAGAATGCTCCTGAACAAATCAAGTGTACTTTTTTGATTTTGCAACCAGCAAATTTGGTTTCGACACCTGTTGCTTTCTTTGCTTTTGCAACCTGTTGACCCTTTAACATGCCACCGTGCCCACAAAGATTTGGTTGGGGATTTCTTTGCGAGCTGAAGTCTAGCCTTTTCGGCTAATCACACAAAGGCAAGAATACGAGAATACATGCAGCTAGCCAGTATTACTTGTCGCAGACTCTTCTTGAGCTGCAAACATCATGCAGGGCCTGGTGTGATGCGCCAAGTTTCTGGCCCGGTTGGGCGTGTCTCCAACTTTGGCACCACCAAATTTGTCTCCAATGGATGACATGTCACTTTTGATTGAACATGGAAACCGTGTACCTGCAACTTCTTGTTTGCACCTGGTGCGATCTCCAGGCGCGGCTCCTCCAGCTGTGGCTCCGGCAGCTGCGGTCTCCAGAGAGGAGGTGGGACAGGATCCATGAGACTAGACCGAGTCAAGAAACAAATGACCGTGTCAGGAAACATGAGTCAAGAAATGGACAGGGGCGAGTCAAGAAACAACTGGAGGCAAGTCAAGAATGAAAGTGATGAATATTTAGATCACAACAGCAAACGTGAGTCAGGAAACGCGGAAACGTGAGTCAGAAAACGCGATTCAAAAATGATGTCGTCAGTGCTTTTGAATTGGCGGTGATGCTGGGATGCAAGTCTGGTACTGCGTGCTTTGCGCTCTGACGAGTGCTTCGTGCATCATTCCTTGATATCGTCATGGCTCGGATCAAGGAACAACCTGGCGTGCAAAGCCGTTCGAATCAGGGGAGAGGGGGGGGGGGCATATTTCAAGTTTTTAGGGCTCAGGCTTAGGGTTCTCAGGGTTTAGGTTTAGGGTTCTGAAGGTTAGGTTTAGGTGTTTAGGGGATAGGGTTTAGGTTTAGTTTCTCAGCGTCTACAAGGAAGCGGGGGGGTGGGGGGGGGGGGGTGGCTGTCCCCCCTCAGTAGAACAACAAAGCAAGACACTAATGGAACAATGTGCGTGATTGCACAACAGAATCGCAAAGTCGCACAACGGCCCTATAAAGAAGCGGGGGGGTTGGGGGGGGGGGGAGCAGCCCCCCCATTAGAACAAACGTTCAAAGAAGCTTTTACATCGCGCGAATATAGAAACGAGAACCACGAAGCCGAACAATGGCCCTGTTCCTGTCGTTTCGGCGTCGTTTCCTGACTCACAGTCGTTTCCTGGTGACCAAACCTTGTTCACTTGACCCGAAACTTTTGAGAGGGCCCCGGCACGCTGTTCCTGTCGTTTCCGGGGTCGTTTCCTGACTTGCGATAGTCGTTTCCTGACTCACGAAACCTTATTCACTTGACTCCAAACCTTTCACAACTCTCCAACACGCTGTTCCTGCTGTTTCCGGGGCCGTTTCCTGACTCACCTCCATATTTCTTGACACGACTCAACCTGTTTCCTGACTTGGACCCACCCGTTTCCTGACTTCGTCCAACCCGTTTCCTGACTCTGTTTCCTGACTCGCCCCTCACCCCGGGATCCATTCCAAGGAGTCTTGCATTCGAAGTCTCTTGGCTCATTACATCCACAATGGGTAAGAATTTTGAAGAGTATTGTATATTAATATATACACTTATGAACTTGTGGAAGCCATAAGTATTGAAAGTGCGACCAAACGGGATGCGGACACGCTTCTATAGCATCGCCCGCAGTGTGCGGACCAGATACAATGTGGAGAGGAGAGGGGCCGCATCATGTAATAGTGCTTCTTTTAGTGGACCGTACTAGACCTTCCGTCGTCATTTGTGTCCGCGCCCGTCTCGAGACTATGGACATCAGCCGCACATGTGCAACTTGGAAGGTTTGGAGATTCTTGCCTTCCAAACAGCCCAGACCTGTGGAACTTGCTAGACTTGGAGAGACTTGCTCTGGTGTTTGCGTGAAAATTGTGAAACTCGTGAGGGGTCTAGAGAAAAGAAACGCTTACGTAGTTTTCTACTGCACAAGTTTCACGCAAATACCAAGTTTCAGGACGAGTCCTGGCTAAGTTTCACAAGTTTCACAGCTGCTTGTTCTACAAATCGAGCTTCCCATCCTTGCTTCACACCTGTGAACCTGTGACCGCTCAACCCCAGACTTAGCCGCGGCAACTCGTGATCTCTACTTGGTGGCTGGTGAGTGGTCGTGCCACTCGTTCTCCGCACTCGGTGGTTTCGGGGTAGCAGAACTGGTCCTGGACCTTCAGCGGTGAGAGAGCTGGGTTCCGCGTTTGGCCCCTTGCCAGCTGACAGGTGGGCCCCCCGCCAGATGGCTGGCGCAGGAAATGGGAAAGGCCGGAGCCAGTTTTCTTGACTGGGGGTCTGAGGTGGACCTCGCCCTAAGTACCCTAAGTGCCCTTGTTGGTGTCCTTTGGTATCAAGCGAAAGACCAATTGGAAGGAGTCAGGACACCCCCCTCAAGTCGCAAAGGCAAGGAACCAGGAACCGGCCAACAAAATTGCAGGTGTTCCCAGCAGATGGAAAGCATTTCTCAGGTTTTGTCAGACTGCAGGCTGTGCGAAGGCTTTCGGGCTGGGGCTCCACTGTAGATTGGTTCACTTGCCTCAAACCTCACCTGGATGCTTCTGCCCTCCTTTGTGCCAGTATTTCTTTCAAGCCACCATTCTCACTTCTTTGGTTTCACACGGGACATATATATATATATAATATAAAAAGACATGGTACCCCCCCCCCCCCAAAGATCGACCATTGTCTGTGCTTTATCTCTGGTGACACATCCCAGAATCTGCAAGGTCTCGGGCTTCTGGCTTCCCAACTTCATCTTGCATCTGCCTTTTGGCTGCGCAGGATGAACATGTTGAAAAAACCCGAAGAAATCAAAAAATCAAAAAAGACAAAACAATCAGGGTCCTGGGAGAGAGTGCCCAGGTCAGAATCTCGGGAAGTGAATAAACCTCGAAGAAATCAAAAAACATCAAAAAATCAAAAACATCAAAAAAATCAAGGTCCTGGAACAGAATGCCCAGACCCAGTGACTATCTCTCTCAAGGCCTTGATTTTTTTGTTTTTTTTTGATTTTTTTTGATTTTCTCGAGGTTTTTCATCTTTCCAGATTCTGACCTGGGCATTCTCTCCCAGGACCCTGATTTTTTGATTTTTTGATTTCTCCGAGGTTTTTGCAGCTTCATGGGTTTCTTGCCCTTCGCCCCTGAGCATCTTCCTTGCAGTGTTGGAGCTTTGGCGTGCAGAGCTGCAGTTTTGCAGCCCTGCCAGGTCTGTATTGCAACCAAGGCCTGCAGTGTTGGAACTCTTGTTGGAAATGCCTTGCTTGCCTGTAGTTTGGCAGCCTTGCCAGGGCAGCAGGGAAGCCTGCAGTGTTGAAACTTTGGCAGGTGAGGCGCTCAAGTCTTGCAGTGGCCTGAGTGTTCAACTCTTGCCAAGTGGGTTGCAGTTTTGAGCTGGAACCCAGTTTGGCAGCTTGCTTGGGCAGTGTGCTGGAAGTGCCACCAGTTTGGTAGTGGAAGTCTTGTAGCAGGTGGCAAGAACCCATGGCAGGGTATTGAAACTTGGCAGTTTGGCAGGTTGCAGTTTTTTGCAGCCTTGCCCTGCAGATTGGCAGCCTTGCTGGAAATTGTGGAATGTTGCGCTGGGCCAGCAACCAAGTTTCAAGCCTTCCTTGCAGTGTGGGAGCTTTGGCAGACAGAGCTCCCAAGTTTGTTTGCAAACAGGCCTGTGTTGGAACTTCTGTTTGAACTCGCTTGTCTGTAGTTCAGTGTTGGTGCAGTTGGTTGCAGATTGGATTGGCAATTTTGCAACCTCCAGGTCTGTAGTTTGGCAGCCTTGCTTGGGAAGTCTTGCAGTGTTGAGTTAGCAAGAGGTTGTAGTTTGCAACCTTGCTCTGCAGTTTAGCAGACTGCTTGGCAGGCTTGAAAAGCCTTGCAGTTGGGTGTGCCTGCAGTGTTGGAGCCTTGCAGTTTGGATTTTGCAGCCTTATTTGTAGTTTGGCAGACCTTGCAGCAAGTGGGAAGCCTGCAGTGTTGAAACTTTGGCAGGTTGGCAAGGTTGGCAAGGGCTGTAGTTTTGCAACCCTGCAGTGTTGGAGCCCTTGCAGGTTGGCAATTTTGCAACCTTGCCAGGGCCCTGCAGTTTAGCAGACTTGCTTGGAAAGTCTTGCAGTGTTGGAGCTGGCCCTGCAGTGTTGGAACCTTGCAGGTTGGCAATTTTGCAACCTTGCCAGGTCTGTAGTTTGGCACCTTTGCTTGGGCAGTGCTTTGGCAGGTTGGTAGGGGTTGCAGTTTTGCAAAGCCTTGCAGTGTTGGAGCTGAAGCCCTGCCAAGTCTGTTTTGCAACCAAGGCCTGCAGTGCCTGCAGTTTAGCAGACTTGCTTTGCCAGGTCTGTAGTTTGGCAGCTTTGCTTGGGCAGTGTCTTGGAAACTCTTGAAGTTTTGAAACTTCAGGTTGCCAGGGGCTGCAAAGCCTTGCAGTGTTGAACCCCTGGCAGGTGCGCAATTTTGCAACCGTCCTCAACAACGCTGCACTTGAATGTCGACCCCAGCATATGCACATCTGTTTCTTGCAATAATGCACCGCATCTTTCTCAAAACGCAGAAAATGGTCGATCTTTGGGGGGGGGGGATAGCATATATATATATATATATATATGTGTGTGTGTTGTGAAAATTGGGGGACCCCTTCGGATTGTGTTGGGTCTCCCAGTCTTGGAACCGCCTCAGATCTCTCGAGCGGGCCGCTGAGGCCTGCGGCAGTCTTTGCCGCGCAGAGCCAGGCGCAGCCAAAATCTTTGCCGCCGCTGAGGCCGGGATTTCCAGCCGCTTGGGGTCGTGCGCTTTGCCATTGAAAGTCTGAGTTTCGAGTTGAATGCCTTGCCAAAAAAGTTTCACCAGACTTTTGGGCAAAGGGTGAGTCTGCTGTTTTGGCCATTGCGGCCACTGCGCGCAGTGCCCCACACCGGGCGCTGCCGCATGCCCCACCGGAGCAGCTGTCCGCGAGCTCGGTGGCAGGGCCCTCAGTCTTCCTTGCCAGGGGCGAAGTTGGATTTGCAGATTTGCAGATTTGTCAAGTGCGGCTTCAAACAAATCAGACGTCCCGATTTGTGATGGACTTTGTCGCATCCTATGAAGGTGGCGCGCATGGCTGCGGAGTACTGGCGCAATGAGAATCGGGGGTGCCGGGCCTGATGAGGCTTTGTCCTTTGCAATGCAAGACATTCCCAGCCTGGCCGCCTGCGCCACGCGTTTTGCATCTTGACCTTTTTAGTGCGAGACAAGGTCAGCAGCTGCCAGCCCAGGCTCAGAGAAGCGTCAGTCGCAACCCATGAGGTCTGAAGTTTATATTTGCTTTGTGACTGCTTTGTTGGATCCTTGTTGTCGGTTTTGAAGAGCAATCGCGGTAAGCAGAATTGGAACGTGGCTTCCCAATCTTAGGAAGCTCCCGCATCTTCTATTCTTCCATGTTGGTTGTGTCTCTTGCGATGTTTGTTTTGCCGTAGCGCACGAGTTCCTGCCAGGCAGCAATGCTGCTGCCACCAGCACAACGTCATTTGGTAGCAAAAGGTTGGTGCATGTTTGGATCACCTGATGGACAGACGAACAGGTGACAGGTGGCGACATTTGTAGCTCATGCCTTGACCAGTGATGGTGCCGGCCATGTGGTGTGCGGCGAAAACAAACATTGGCATTCTCTCGAGTTTAACGCGCTAAACTGCAGACTTTTCCTAAGTCTTTTCCAAGGGCAAGGTTCTGATGCTTTGTGCTTTTTACAAGGATATTGTAGGAATCAACTGTTCAAAAGATGAATTCTGCATCTTTTGGCTCAGATGCCAACCCAGGATGAGCTGGAATTCTAGAGTTTCAGCCATCAGCCACACGCTCGGAAGACTTCCAATGGGCCAGTTGCTTGCGAAGTGGGGAATGCTCAGCCAGCGCTTGTCCGATTGGTTCGAAGTCACAGGTCTGGCAACTGCAAGAAGCGCGGCTCAGGTGCAACCTCACTTCCGCCCACATGAGTTGGGGGTGTGCACAGGCCAGCATTTGGCACTGCTCAAGAATTCAAGCTTGGATTCACTGAATTCGCGTGCGAGTTCCTGCAAGGGTGAAATGCACAGGCTATTTGCAGAATGCCGTTGCAAAGAATTTGCCTTGTGGGCCCTTGTTGCGCACACAGCGAACCCGCACGAAGCAACAGCTCGGCTTAGCCGACTGCGAAGACGCACAAGTCCCTTTCGCCGCGAGCAACAGAGGTTTGCACTGCCAGGATACGGCTCAAAGGCACACCAACATATTGATGAGCGACTCAAGAATTGGCTGCCTTTCAGCATCCAAGGTGACAAACACACCAAGGCCAGAGTGATTCAGGCCCCCCAAACTTTCACCGGCCAAGGGTCATTGTTGGCGTTGGGTGTGGAGATGCAATTGAGGAACTCGCACCCGCTTGCCTTTGTGCGTGGGGCTTACACGCAACACATAGATTTGCTTTCAATTCAATGCACATGAAATGTTGGAAGGGTCCCACAAAGTCACCACCCTTTGAATCATAGCTTTGCAAGCTGTGTTGTTTGCGATTTGAATATTCTTAGGAGAAGGCTTCCGGAAAGATTGGTTTTCCTTCGGCAAGTGGGAGGACTCTGGGATGTTTTAGGCGTTGTTCAGACATCGATGTGGCATCGTCTTTGATGCTGCCTTTTCATCTCCTTCTTGCAGACTTTTCCCATGCTGGAGCGCACATGGACAAACTTAGTTTTGCATGAAGCGTCTGTTGACGTTCACAGGGACACGTACATGTCCATGTTTGTTTTTGTACTGTAGCATTGTTTAGATTCCTCTGACCCACCAGGTCTGGGAGTTGAGTTGCCATGGTGGTGCGCACCTTGTGGTGTTGTTGACCATGAAGCGGAAGCCGCATGATGAGCCCATTCTACACAGCATCAGGCTTTGTGACCTGCTGTTACTCGTGCAATCTACCTCTGGCTCAGGCTGCAGCATCAATGCCAAGGACTGTTCACCACCATAACATTTGGGCCACATATATGCCTCCGGAGCAACAGACCAAAACTACGCGTGCGAACATGCTGCACCTTGATGGCCAAACATGTCATGCAACGGACACACAGAGGTACTTGCCACCCATGCAGAAAAGATAGCTTCATCAAGTTCCCCCGCTTATCCTTGGCTTCATGTCGACAGTTTCCGAAACATTTTGCACGTGTGCCAAAGCACCAGAAAAAGAGCATCCCAGAAGCTGGGCCCGGTTTCGACCTTCAAGAGCTTCGGGGCGCGATGGCGGACATGGCAGACTTGACGCTCCATGCGGTCATGGCGTTCACTGGGAAGGAGCTGCCCCCGATGCAGGCACAGCGCAACCACTGCGCCCTGCGCACTGATTCAAGAAGGGCAATGGGGACAGAGAGAGAGTGTACCCACTTTCCTTGGACAATAATCAATGCAGGGACAAGCGCCCTAGCCTTGCAAGGTCTGCCGCCACGACTCCTTACATCAGCTCCGCCAGAAGGTAGCGGAGGTCGACGCGAACAAAGAACACGTGCAGAGCTGTTTCTTTCACAGACAACTCATTGAAAACCATTTCGGGACCATGAACCATGGAAGCATTTGGCTCCAAAAGGACAATCTTGACTTTGGATGCGCATCTTTTTGATGCAGGCCTGCGGTGTGCCGGCTGCACTGGTACAGCTGGTGACAGAGTCCGGGCCTATCCAGGCAGGAGAATCCAAGGTGCAGACTTGAGTTTTTTCCTGTGATCCTGTCTCGCAGGAGCAGGGTACTATCGGCGAAGCTCTGAAAGATGGTTTCCCTGCTGCAAGTCGTTTCTGTTGCCTTGCTTGTGTGTGTGTGTGTGTTCTTGTGTGTTCATAGTTGCGTTTATCTTTGTTTTTGTGCGCGTGTTTGCACGTATGGATGGCAAAAGATGGGTGACAACCCTGGACTACTAACACTTGAGAGCGGACCTGCGGCGCGAATTCCTTGACTAGCCACATTGGCCAAGGGGTTTGAAGATGTGGCGAAAAGTGACCAAATTGTGGAGATACGGCTAAGAAAAGGCAAGAGGGTAACACCTCTTTCCAAGCTAAGGCGAAGTGCAAGTGGCCCTCACGCCTCAGGGCCGTGAGGTGATCACAGCCAGTCAGGCGCCTTTGCTTGTTTGGCCATGGGCTGGGTCCATGTCTTGGTTCTCAGGCTGTTGGCTGTTTTGGGCCTGTTTTGTTTCGATTGGGCTCCTTCCGCATGAAGGATGGAAGCGCGCGGGTCTGGCATGCCGATAGCGGTGAGTGTGTGTTCCACCTTACACCTCCCAGCACCTTGGCTGCAAACAATTGCCATGCCGTTCCAGACAGATTGAAGTTCTAGTCTAGGGGTTCAGATGAGGGCAGGTCGAGAAGCTCTGTGTTGCAGCTTAGGTTTTGAATGCGCTGTTGCCAAGGCATGTTGCCACGCATGTGGTCGCCGTTGTTGTGTATATTTGTATATGCATTGGCACAACTTGCCATATTTACTGTGGCTTGCCAGGATTTTTAGACACACACACACACACAAAGACACGCACAAGCACATCTCTCGCGCTCTTATATCTATGTTATTCTGCGCGTCTCTACACAAATACATGCAAGCAGGAAGCAGGCAGGCAGACAGACACATATAGACCTAAACACGGACGCAGGCATAGGCATAGGCATGGACATGGACAAGGATATGGACATATACATAGACATAGGCATAGGCAGACATATAGAGACAGAGACACGCAGTGGAGACCGACAGAGACAGACAGAGTCAGAGAGACAGGGAAAGACAGACAGCCAGACAGCCAGGCAGGCAGGCATACATGCATGCATGCACACAGAGAGAGAGAGAGAGAGAGAGGTTGGCAAAGGCCTGACGGGCAAGGCCGGTACACACGTTGCTCAGAACTTTCCTCATGACGAGGCAGCAGCGGTGCCGTGCACTGCGCGCTGCTCTCGCGGTGTGGCAGAGAGGCGATCACTGGCAGTGCTGATGGCACCATCCGCCGGTGGTTCCTGGAGGCGCAGTGATGGGATTTGATGGTGGACACGCCCTCAAAAGTGGTCGGTGGACATGCTACTGTGTGTGTGTGTGTGTGGGTGTGTGTGTGTGTGTGTGTTTTTTTTTTTTTTGTGTGTGTGTGTCTGAACATTGGGGACCTTGGTTTTTCTTTGAAGCCAGCACTGGGAGGACCCCTTTTGGAGAAGCTGTAAAGTTTTCGCAAGGCGTTTTCTCGACAGGGGGGAGACTGCGTGCTGCTGGAGGGCCACTCCCGGGCGGTGGCGCAGCTGAAGCTGGCGCCGGAGGGGCGGCTGCTCTCCGCCTCGGACGACTCCACGGTGAAGCTTTGGCGGCTACAGGCGTGTGGAAGCACCGGAGGGGGGTTGGCAGGCCAAAAACTCAGTTGCAAAATTTGTGGTCCCCTTCAGGCCCTTTTTTAAAAACCCTTGAACATGAACCACCGAAAAAGGGGTGCTCTTCTTCTTCCTGCGGCCAGCATGGCTTTCAAGGAGCTGATGAAGAGAAACACACACACACACATGACAGGCAATAATGAACTAGGCGTTGTTTGATTCGGAGGTAACATCACCACAGAGCTACAAACATTTGTGGCAGGCCCGGGAGTGATTGACAAGAATGGAAGGCGTTCGCGGCAGACATTCGCCAATGTTGATCCCATGCAAATGCCAGCGCTAGCGGAGGGGCATTTGTCGCACGGGCGCATCTTTGGGGCGTTTGCAACCTCAGCGAATCGCTGCTTGGCGTATGCAGGACGGTTGCTGCCTCCTCACCCTGGAGCATCCGGATACCTTTGAGCGAGGTGTACGCTCGGTGGCTTTCTCCTTAGATGCCAGGCACGGGTCAAGGATGAGAGGAAGCACGAAGCCAACATGGGGGAAGCGTGTCAAAACAAAGGAGCCTTCACATCAAATGGTCGGTTTTGTTGGGTTCCTTCAATACTGTCATCTCCTCCCTTGCCAACTTCCTTCAATCCGTACTTGAAGTATTCCTGATGTTGGTATTTCAGCACAAATGCCACAGGTGCATCGTTGCTGCTGGGGCCAATGGCTTGGTGGTGCAGTACTCAGAGATGCGATGGCTGCATATTATTGGTGGAATGGCTCATGCTCGTGACACAACATGGCGGAGAGACGGCAAACCTCTAGCGCTTGATTGGGTTCAATCAATGCTTTAGCAGCAGCGTACGGCCAGTGGAACCTTGCACCTAAGGAGTGGTGAGATCCAGGCCAAGCATCAGGGCCACACGGCCGCCGTGAACTCTGTGGTCTTTTCCCCAGAGGTGTGAGGAGAGTCGCTCGCCGAGGGTGCCAGGTTGCGTATGTTGAGAACCACGAGTCATCTCATTGATGCTTTTGTTTGCATGTTTGGAGCCATGCGCATACGTTTTTGCCATGCCTGGCGGTAAGTCAGTTCATGCCATGCTTTGCCTGACGTCCTGGTGAGAGCACCTTTTGCAGCACATGTTTTGTCAGCTTCCTGGTGTCACCTGTACATGTTGGGCAGCCAGTCGATGGCCTGTAGGCATCGTTCAATCAATCCGACAGGGCAAGCGCTTGCTGTCGGCCTCCGATGATCGTACTGCTCGAATCTGGCATCTTGGCGTGAAGGGGTGGACCATGTGCACTGGCTGCACATGGTGCGATAGTGTTGGCTACATGGTGACAAGGAAGGACGAGCATCTCCGCAGTGCTGCCTCGTGTTTTGCAGTCACAAAAGCCATATCAGACAGGGGCAATAAGATGGTTGGGCAGGCCAAAGATGTTGCAGCTCCCTGTTCAGCCGACGTGGCTGCAGGCACATTGCAAGCAGCAGCTGCATGGTGCTGGGCGATCCAAGTGCCGGGGCTTTGAGCAGGTAGCCGCATGAGCCGGGTCCGCTGCGAGACAGAGAGACAGAGAGAGAGACAGAGATAGAGAGAGCTTGCCATTGCTCACTCAAACAAGAACCAACAACTGTAGCAACTTCTGCCACCCAAGAAACACAGCGGGACTTGTTTTTCTTGTGTTCGGCGTTGCGCTTTGCGTCGATTTGAGGCGACGGCAGTGGGCCGGCCTTTGCGGCGAGCTTCTCGCCGGACGGGCGCTTGGCACCTCGGACAGAGTGGCCAGGCACAGATCTTGAGAGCAGGGACTTGCCTGGACAATTTATAGGGAAGTGTCTTTTCATAGGGCAACTTTGTTTTTGGTTGGTGAACCAACACAACTCACTCAGAATTGCCAGCAGAGCTTGTGCAGTGTCAGGCCGTGGTGGCGCATTTCGCGCGGTGTGCCCGCCTCTATGACATGACGGGCTCCTGTGCCTTGGATTGCTAACGCGGGAGTTGATCTAAATCAATCCTTGTCCTGAAGGGCATCACTCTGGATGTTTGAGAATATCTCATTTTCAAACGATGAGCGCACGTAATGTGAATAGGGCGCATGAAACTTCTAGAATGTTGTTGAGGAGTTGGGCTCCAAAAGGCAGATTTAGCAGAATCCAAGGCATCCACGTGCTACAGCATTCAGATGCAGTCCTCAGCGTGGACTTCTCGCCAGACGCCTCACTGGTGCTCACTGCCTCAGATGACGCCACTTGCGGGTGCGCCCCCTGGGGGGATCGTGGGGTTGGCAGGTGGCCGGGGCAAGCTGGACGATGTCAGCCCTGAGCATTATGGAGAAATTATTTTTGGCAAGGGAAAACTGAAGCAAGAATCACCCATTGTTTTGTACGAAAATACATGTTTGGAAATGCCTGGTTGAATTGTTTGTTGGCTTCGCACTGATCCCTGTCTGGGCGGGCTTTGACAAGAAGTTTCTCGCAGTGTTGGGCACCACAGTATTCGAGCCAGCTGCACGCCGCTGCCGTCATTTTGCTTGTCAGATGTTTGTTGGCTTATGTATGTGTCAGAAAGCTTGCGACAGCGGAGCTGCAGGCATGTGCTGATAGTTCAACAGTGTTCATCGGACAGAGAAGCAGCCGCCATCAATCCGGTCAGCTTCTGGCGGCCCGGCTTTTGTTGCTGCCCCTGGGGAGGAATCCGGGACCCTTGGCTTTCGAACGCATTGCAGCATATCACAAGGCAATGGAGCGCAAAGGACCCTTTTCCAACCAAACGAGAGCCAAAAAGGCACCATTCCCTTTGTAGCCCTATAGAAAGCTGAGGCGCCGGGCCGTCGCCACCTCGCCTCGCCCGGCCCGCGAGGCTTTGGCGCGTCGCGGACGGCGGGCTGCTCTTCCGACTCCACGGCCACAAGCAGGGCGTGAACATTGGAGCCTTCTCGCCAGACGGCGCGCAGGCCGCTTCTGCACGTCCATTTGTTTTGCATCCATTTTTCATTGGACGTTGATGTATGAGCTACGTTGAGCAAGACAAGGAGAAAGGGGTGACATACAATATCCCCTCCTCATATCTGGGTCATTTTGAGTAGTCGTCTTTTTGTGGGAAGGGTTCAAAGCAAATGCGCAGAATCCAAAGGGACCAGGAGCTGCGACTCACACTGACGACACCCCGGAAAGAGAATTCTCGCTTCAAAGAATGTGGGTGTCTTGTGTGCAGCCCCCTTTCGGATGATTCAGAGGGGATCCTAAAGGGAAACCAACCCGGATCCTTTGCTTTGGGGCACACTAACGGTTATTGCACGCAGGACTGCATGCATATAAAATTTGTGTATGTCGGAGTATCTCGCCAACACGCAAATGCACAACGCATTGTCACCTGGGTGCACATTGCAGTGCGTCTGTTTGCTGTGCCTGCCCTCTGGAACATTAAGCCTACAATGAATTCCATTTTCCCGAAAGCATGGCGAAGGGTTCTTCCGCTGGGTTCACTTGAGTTGTTCTCATGAGAGTCATTACAAGGTGTCATTGCAAGGGATCATCATCATGAAAGTCTTTTGCAAGGAGTCATTGCAAGGAGTCATTGCAAGGAGTCATTGCAAGGAGTCATTGCAAGGAGTCATTGCAAGGAGTCATTGCAAGGAGTCATTGCAAGGAGTCATTGCAGGAGTCATTGCAAGGAGTCATTGCAAGGAGTCATTGCAAGGAGTCATTGCAAGGAGTCATTGCAAGGAGTCATTGCAAGGAGTCATTGCAAGGAGTCATTGCAAGGAGTCATTGCAAGGAGTCATTGCAAGGAGTCATTGCAAGGAGTCATTGCAAGGAGTCATTGCAAGGAGTCATTGCAAGGAGTCATTGCAAGGAGTCATTGCAAGGAGTCATTGCAAGGAGTCATTGCAAGGAGTCATTGCAAGGAGTCATTGCAAGGAGTCATTGCAAGGAGTCATTGCAAGGAGTCATTGCAAGGAGTCATTGCAAGGAGTCATTGCAAGGAGTCATTTAGGAGTCATTGCAAGGAGTCATTGCAAGGAGTCATTGCAAGGAGTCATTGCAAGGAGTCATTGCAAGGAGTCATTGCAAGGAGTCACAAGGAGTCATTGCAAGGAGTCATTGCAAGGAGTCATTGCAAGGAGTCATTGCAAGGAGTGCGTCATTGCAAGGAGTCACTGTAAGGAGTCATGAGAGTCATTGCAAGCTGCAAGGAGCCAAGTGCATGGAGTCAAGTGCAAGTTGCAAGTGCAAGGAGTCAAGTGCAAGTTGCAAGTGCAAGGAGTCAAGTGCAAGCTGCAAGTGCGTGGAGTCAAGTGCAAGTTGCAAGTGCAAGGAGTCAAGTGCAAGTTGCAAGTGCAAGGAATCAAGTGCAATTGACTTGCGAGGAGTTAAAATCTCTTCTTAGGGCGGCGGGGCAGTGCCGACGACACTTCACGAAAACGGACCCTCTGCGGGGATCGGCGTGGTGGGGTGCAAAAACTCAAGGTTTTTTGCGATTTTGTTTGGGCTCGCGCGACCCTCTGCGGAGATCGGCGTGGTCGATGTGCAAAAACTCGAGTTTTTTTGCGTTTTCTGCGGTGCCCGCGCGACCCTCTGCGGGGATCGGCGTGCTCGAGGTGCAAAACTCAAGGTTGTTTGCGATTTTTAACATGCTCGCGCGACCCTCTGCGGGGATCGGCCTGGTCGAGGTGCAAAAACTCGAGGTTTTTTACGAGTTCGGCGTGGTTGAGGCGCAAAAACTTGGTTTTTTACGATTTCTGCGGTTGCCGCGCAGGGATCGGCGTGGTCGAGGTTCAAAACTCGAGGTTTTTTGCGACTTTTGTTGTTCGAAGTGGTCCTCGGGAGTTGTCTCGTGGCTCGCGCGCCTGCTCCCCGGACCGGCGGGTCGTGGGTTCGATTCCCCCCTGGTCCGCGGGCAGGCTTCGCAAGCTGCGCGGAGCAACTTGCATAAAGCAACTTGCGCAGAGCAACTTGCGCAGAGCAAGTTGCACAGACCAGTTTGCGCAGAGCAACTTGCGCAGAGCAACTTGCACAGACCAGTTTGCACAGAGCGCCTTGCCTAGAACAACTTGCGCAGAGCAACTTACGCAGAGCAACTTGCACAGAGCAACTTGCACAGAGCAGCTTGCACAGAGCAACTTGCAGGGAGCAACTTGCAGGAAGCAATTTGCACAGAGCAACTTGCAGGGAGCCACTTGCAGGGAGCAATTTGCACGGAGCAACTTGCGCGGAGCAACTTGCACAGAGCAACTTGCACCGAGCAACTTGCGCAGAGCAACTTGCGCAGACCAACTTGCACAGACCAGTTTGTGCAGAGCACCTTGCCCAGAGCAACTTGCGCAGAGCAACTTGCACACACTGCAACTCGCACAGGGCAACTTGCGCAAAGCAACTTGCGCAGAGCAACTTGCGCATGTGCCAGGCCGGGGTTAAACAAGTTTGCCGCACATCGTGGGGAGTTATGCTTTTAGGCCACTCGTCCTCTAGGAGTTTGACGCAAGGAGTTCTCATCATGAAAGAAGTTGCGGGTTTTTCAATTTGTTGGATATTCTGATACATATTTTAAACATGTCTTCTAGACATTTTTCCATGATACACATGATATCCATCATGTTCGTAGGGTTCTGTTTGATTAAGCTTTCATTGTGGAACTATGCATGAACGCTGGAGACAGCTAAACCAACGAGCCTTGCAGAGATGCTGCATTTAAAGCAGCAGTGCCGACTTTGAGACACGACGCATTGATGCTGGCAGGTACTGTCGGCGTCGGACGATCGGGAGGCAGGTTGTGGGCCAGGTCGCGTGGCTGTGTGTTCAACTGGGAACAGCTCCACTGTCCCAAAGGCGTGCCTGGCCATGTCTTTCTTTGTGCGCGCAAGGCTTTGTCATTTACACAGTTCCCCCCCTTGCTCACACGCAGAGAATCTGTCATTTGCTGCAAGGCTTGTAGCTTTTGGGTTTGTCTCTGAATGAATCACTCAAAATTGGCTTTGGTTCCCCCTTCAACCCAACCCCAAAACGGGTACAGAACAGCGGTCGCTTGGCAGGCGCGGCTGTGGAGTGTCGCCACCGGCGCCTGCCTGCGGGTGCTGCAGGGGCACCACAAGCGGCTCAATGGAGCGGACTTCTGCCGCTGAAAAAGGGGCTGGAGCGAACTCTGAGGATATGCGACCTCTGGCGCGTTGTTTGGACACTCTCAATGTAATTGGTGTGCAAAGAAATGGCCCCCAGCGCCGAAGCTCGTGCGCGTTTGGATAAGGTTGGTTTCCTTTCACAGAACGATCTGGGGGAGGGTCCTTTCTTGTTTCGCCTCTTCCTATGCCATGTTCGAGCTTGGCAGGCATTGGGTGAACATTTTGGCTCAAGCCTGAGCCAAACTGGCAGAGAGCCTTTTTGGTTTTCAGTATATTGGGACTCTAGCATGTTTGGTGCTGGCACAGGTGCCTATGTGGTGCACACTAAGGCGCGCATCCTCTACCGCGCAGCCTTGCTTGACTTCCAGGCGTTTGCTGCAGGACTGGCTGCCCGTGGGGAACGGGGCCAGGCCATGCAGCTGTGGAGGTCGGTTGTGGTGGTGGTGCATTTCCTTTGTGTCGGTGTGTTGGCTAGAGGGGGGTCCTCGCGGCTTACCGGGTGTGGACGGGCGGCGCTGGACCCAGGAGTCGGTCGTGCAGTGTGTTCCTTGCCTCGTGGTTCACCACCTCGTGGTTCACCGGTTTCAAGCCCCCCGTGCTTAAGGGCCTCATCAATCAGCCCCCTTCAACCACTACGTGGAGTGGCGGTACTGCGGTGGCATGTCGTCATCGCAGTGCCCGCGCGATGAGTCTGGCTACCTGGGATGCGAAGAAACGAGATCGGTGCGGGAGAGAGAGAGAGAGAGAGAGCTACGCCTTGAACATCGATTCCGACCCGCTCAAGCAAAAGGTTTCGGTGCTGCTGGACACTCTGCGTGCGTGGCGAACTCCCCAGCAACATTACAAAAATGGCGGCTCTGGTGCTCCATGTGGTGATTGCAACAAGGACACACGGTCATGCCCATGTTTCGACACATGTTCGGTGGCTGTATAATCTAATAAGAGTTGCTAACGCCGCCGCCGTGTTTCTTTTTGGGGTCCCACCAACAAGAGCCGTTTTGCAAATCGCAGAGGGGCTTCCTCGCTTGGTGGTTTGCTGGTTACTTGCTCTTGGAGATCTGGCCCTATCGCAGAGAGGGACGAGCGAACACACAGCCACGCAGGCGTGCTTATCATCTTGTTGCATCGTAAGAGGGGGTGCGAGCTCCAAGGTTTTCCGGTTTCCACAAAGAATTGTCCTGGAAGTAAAGCCTGGGTGAGTCGGGTCCCCAGCCAAACCATTACTCGTAAGAGTTGCTCGCATCGTCCCTGCACTTGTCGAGATCTCGTCGAAAAACTTAGTTGATGCATAGGAGCCTTTTCCTGGCAAACTACTTCGCTGACCTTGACAACTTGGAAACAGTTCACGAACCCGGCCAGTTGATTACAGTGCTGCTGGAGCTGAGCGTTGCCGGCGGCATGCGTTGGAATGACCACACATGTGAACACCAATGTGCGAACCATAAGCGCCAACTCCAAGATGAACCCGGCCAAGCTGGCGGTGTTGGTAAGTTGGGGCAAAGTTCTCACACGTTTCCGCGATGGAGCAGGGCTGGAGCTGACACTCAAAGCCAAGCTTGTTCCGGAATGGAGCGGCGTTGGGCGCATGGAGCAAAGCCATGCGTTGGCCATCTTGGGAGCGTGCGGCGCGCTGGACACGACAGAGATGAAGGCCCTGCATAACCAAACACTGAGGATTTTCTGGAGCTGTGCCGGATGACAGAGGTGCGCGCCAAACGGGCACCTTTGCTGTGTGGGTGCGTTGCTAGGCGAGGAAGGATGTCCCGGCCGTAACGCTACAAGGCGCAGTCTGCAAGTCTATGCAAGTGCTCTCTTGCTTTGCTTGTGGCAAGACCTTTAGCCGAGCTCGAGAAGAAGATAGCAACCAGAAGTGGCATGTGTCCAGTCTCGGCCGCAAGCTGCTGAGACTGATGCGCAAGTTTCAGCAGAGTAGCAAGACGGCCACCAAATGCTTCGGTGATGGAAAAGTGCATTGAGTGTCCGTACTACAAAAATTCCTTCGAAACTTCCTTTGATTAGTACCAGGTGTTAGGTTGATTCACCCCGAACCCCCGGGACCTTCACTCTCGAACACGGCATTGACATTGCATTTTCCCCCTCAAAGTTGATGATCAACATTGATGCTTTTACCCTGTGAAAACCCTCCTGGCCCCGTGCCTAAATTGGGAAGCCGTTCTGAGGTCCATGTTCTCTTTGGTTGAAGTGTTCCGATGGATGCCACAATTTGGCTCAAGACTCAAGTAGGGCTTATGGTCTTGCATGTCTGTGTTCGATCCGAGTGAGAGGAAACAGGTGCGATCGCGCTGCAGATCTCGAACTTGTGTGGTTATTGAGGAACACCCCTTACACATTTTTCACTGGTCTGGCTGTATCGGTTTAGCCATATATCTTTACCACGTGATTGAGTACTATTCAGCTGGAAGCTGTGGACAGCGTTTCACGGGACTTCATCTTGCACTCTTGACAGGTTATCAGCCGTAAACAAGCTCTACACTGGACAAAGAGGCAGCTGGTTTCTTGCGGGTACAGGAACTGCAGAAGAACGATAACCTACACAGTACAATGGAATCTTCAGCGAGCCCAAGTACTGCGACTTTTGGGAACGACAGTTCAGAGGGATCCAACGGATTGATGGCTCTTCCTGTGGTCATGGATATGGTTGCCGATTCACAGGGTGAATCCGGAAGAGGTGGTTCCGTGCTATTCAACGACATATCCTCGTCTGCAAAATCATGGAAACAGGTCGCTATTCGTCAGGAGTCGAACCAGAGAGATTCTCCGCCGAGGAGATCATCGTCTTCGCCAGCGACCCCCAGGGCGTCGCAGAAGAGCGTGAGGTCGTCATCGAAAGGGGGAGATCCAAATCACCCACAAGTGCTGAGGTTCGCGCCATCATCAAGGAGAAGAACAGGATGGAATCGGAGATCGGACGGAGAATATCAGAAGACACTTGATGAGATGTCGACGGCGATGGCAAACCTTCATCAAGAAGACTATGGGAGCACCATCCGGATCCAGGAACTGGAGAGACGATGCGAGATTGCCAGCAAGCAACCGGGGCATCTTGTGAATCATCACCAACGCCATATGGCAGAGGCCTGGCGCAAGTTTGAGGCAGAGGCCCAACAGATGCGCGAGGCGGAAATGAACGCATATCAATACGGGGAGAAGAAGGACATGGAGTCGAACGCTATGATGCAGCAGATGCGACAAGCTGAGGGAATGATCATGGAGCAGAAACGAGAGATTGCAATTATGAGATCCTACATGGCAAGCGAGAAGACGGCTGCGCAGGAGTCCGCTATACATGCAAATCAAATTCATCGTGAAGCTTCAAAGCAGATTTCCGCTTATCAACAGCAGACCAGGGGGATTGAATCATCAACATCAATCGAGAAGTTCAACGAGGAGGAGATGGTTCAAAGCCTGAAATCACAGCTGGCACATGCGCTGGTCAAGCGTCCCGAAGTGTACTCTATGGAGGACTCCAAAAACCAATTAATGACGAGACTGAATGACGTAACGGCGCTTGCGGAACAAGAGTCGAAAAGAGCGGAATGCCTCCTTCGAGAGAAGGAAGAGATCGTCAAGCAGTATGAATCCGACGTGTCCAAGAAGGATCAGATGATTGGTATAGAGGGTGGTCATCGTCAGGATGCAACCATTGAATTGGCCCAGATTAGGGAAGCGACACAAGAAGAACGATGCACGATGGACGAGAAGTCGAAAGAGGCTGAGTTCTGGAAATCGACGGCTAAAGGGATGCACGAAGAGTACCTCGAGGAGATGCACAAGCTCCATGAACGTCTGAAAAATCGGGAAGCGATGCTCAAGCAAGAAAAGAGCTTCGTTCAGCAGCTCGATGCGGATAATGAGGAACTCAGGACATTCAAGAGGCTGGAGATACTGGAGGCCTCGAACAAGAAAGATGAACATCGTGAACAAGGTGTAGTGAAGCGCCCTGAGAAAGGACCCCAACTTAATTCGGTTAGGGAGGACAAGAAGATGACCGGGATATTCCCGTCATCATCGTCTAATTCGATCCCTAATTCGTCACTAGTGCCGGGTTCGATTCTCTTTCCGTCTTTTGGTGATCCAATGATCGATGTACACCTATCACAGATGCAAGGGGTTGTCGGGCAAGTCCCACAGCCTACTACAACTGGTGGTGGTGGTAATGGAGGAGGGAACAACGAAAATACGCCTCCATTGGATTACAATGGATTCTCGTCCGGCGGGAACCGACAGGGACCGGATCATCGTCATCTGAGTCTGGCGGGTGGCGGAGGAGGACCTCCGGATGTACCGCCTGATGATGAGGACGAGGATGATGATGATGACGAGGATGAGGAAGACGAAGAAGGAGACGACAATCGGTCACGGAGGGGACGCAGGCGATTGAGGGATGATCGGGAGATCAAGAACGAGAGGCCGAGGATATCGAGGAAAGAGGCCGAAAGGGTATCCATTCCCACTTGGCCGAAGATCCATCAGCTCGACAACTGGAAGATGCAACTGCTGATGAACGTGCTGAACGCATGTGCAGATCCGGATACCGACACATGGACAAGATGGTTGGCTCAGGCTCTCGGGTTAAACCCAGACCTCAATTTCCTGAACGACTCCGGCGGCGACAGGTTCGCCACGCTTGACATCAAGATGGCCATGAGCATGCAGAACATGCTGAGACAAGCGCCAGACGAGGCCAAGGATGTATACCTCGACGCTACACGGCATTCGGAACTACGACATCAACAAGGAGTGATCGTAAAGGGACGAGAGCTAGTGGCATTGGTTATGCAATCATTCAGGACATCAGATCGGACAGACCTTGTCTATCATATCGAGCACTTATTCAACCTTGCCTTTCCTGGCGACAAGAGCTTGGTTGTGTTCAGGAACAAGTGGTATGATTTGCTGCTGAAGATGAGGAGCGAAGATAGGCCCAGTCCATTGGCACTGAGAGATATCCTATACAGGAAGACCAAAGGGAGCAAGAAGAT